CACTTTGGGGGTCTGAATAATAAGGATTGTAGTATTTTGGGGTCTATATTGGGGTCCCCCTATTTGGGGAAACTACCATACGATTTAGGCCCCTATCGTAGAGCTTAGGGTCATTGTATACAGCAGGCTCGAAGAGATCATGAAGAAACTTGCGTGCAGTATCAAAACAGCTCCGGTGATGCTGGAACGATCGTTGATACTAAAGATCCTGCATGACCTTAATATACTACTGCACCATGATTCCCGAATTTCTGATTACTTTGGGTCATGCAGGATTGTTGGTCTCAACCGTATGTTACCGAAGCGTTGCGGGACTCTGAAAGGAAGGTATGTGAAGAGAGGTTCATACTTTGCCATTTCCCTAAGTTTTCAACTTAAACTTTCCATAAACTCTAATCCCAAACCAATCTTCTGCCAGTGCTTCAAAAGCTAGACTTGAAGCCGGAACAGTTCGCTCAAGGCAACAACGTCGGTTTTGGGGCGGGATCCTAGCCCAAAAAGTAATGGCATGGGAGGGTCAAGTTCGGGTTTAAGGTCCAAGGACTTAGGTTTCAGGATGCCTGGCAACGAGTGTGTTTTGTTGACTCTGGGGTGGGTGGTTTGGTGGGATGGTAGGTAGGTAGGTGGGTAGATAGGTAGGTAGGTAGAGGTAGCATCCCAAGAAGAAACCGATACACAGCACGACTGAAGAGGATCTAGTTGAAAGTTGCATGCCTTTCCCACATAGGACCTAGCGTTGGACAGCAGGAAAATGCCCAAAAACCCACAGATTCTCAGCTACATTCCTCAATACGCAGCAGACCAGCATGTCGGCTATATGGGCGGGTTTACCAAGTGTTAGAAGTGCGGTACCACACTCCTAGTAGAATTATGTTATAGAATACCCTAAAAGGAATACTGGTTTAGGGTTTAGGGGTCCAAGCCTGTAGCAGAGGCTGTAGGGTCTGGGGATACGTCCTGCGCTGCCTTACCCTGCGGGAGTTAACGCCAGACAGTTTTGGGGACAGATGCATGGTGTACCATACATGAGCTGTAGTCTAAACTCCTAGAAACGGCGTACATAGGGGATAAGATACGGGACTACTATAGGGGTTATTAAGGAGGATACTAGGAATTCAGACTATGGCTCATATGAGTTTCCGGAAATTAGGGGATCCTTTTTGGGAGGTCCGCATAGTAGGGATTATAAGAATATTATGGGGACTACATTGGGCCCCCTGATTCATGGACCATATACGCATGTTACAAGATCAGTTGGGATGGAAGTTACAATGGCCAATGGCGCTTCCTAGCTTTTCCTTGAGATCGAACGGACTGCCCAGGACCATCAATCCAGAGCGCATGTTGAAGTTCAATCACAAGTCACATTTGTAGCTAGCAAGGCAGCCTTGCTTCAGGCTTCAAGCAGGAACACATCATCTTTCCCTGCAAATTAGGCTCTCAGTATACATGAACTACCAAGCACCCACCAGTTTGCGAACTCCGAAGCAGGAACCACAAGCTCAAACGACACACGCTGAAACCCAAACCCTAAACTCCTGGGCTGAGACCGTGCCCAAGCCTGGCAAGAAGACAGACCGGCAAGCCGGGAACGGACGTCCAAAGCCCGGAATCGTTGAGGGCTTCGAGCCTTTAGGAGTTCGGGGTTGTCGCGGAGATATGCTGTTCAGGCTTCTTGGCAGAAAATGGGGTTCAAAGGGGATTTTGTTGTGAACTGTTGAAATGGTATCATGGTTCCGGAGTGCCTTGACTGCAAGCGGTGCTGTCTTCATTGATGGGTAGCTGCGGTAGATAAGGTGGCGGCTTCAATCTAGTGGGTTTGACCCTTTAACTTTCCGAGTATCTTATGATCAAAAGTGATCAAAACTAGGGCCTAGGGAGTCTACAGGTTGAACTGCGTGGAAAGGTCTTAGACTTGATTAGTCGAGTTTTCCAAAGGAAGATGGCGAGCGGAAAAGAGTGTCGCATCATTTCCAAGGCAGGACAATCCCGTTCGCCTATCACAAGTCATTGTCCCTGCATGACACCCCGAATGAAAAACATCGGTATCGCCAAAGATCGGCAGTTTTGTTTCGCATGCGCATACGGCCCACTGAGAGGAAAGTGTGATGGTGGTATCTCATAGGTTTACATGTAACTGCTGCGTGATATTTGAGGTTCACACGCCTTACTGTGTGCAGGATAGAATTGCGGGCGGCATTCCTAAAGTGTTATCTTCATGCGGGGCTCGCAGCTTTGGTAATCAGCCTGAAGAGTCCGGAGCAGATTCTTCTTCACGCACTTGCCAAAGCGGAAGCTGTCCGTGCCTGCACGGGAGATACACCACCTCTGCTGGATTTTAACGGATCTGCGCTTGCGGGGCCAGGTGCAGGCTGAGAAGTTCCAGCAGATATTTGACCAGGTGTTGCTGCCTTTCTTGGCTGTGAAGTTCCAATCCACCCCTAACGTAGCAGGAGGGGGTGGTCACACCTGCGCCGTGAAGCTGGATGGGCAGCTGGTGTGCTTTGGGCACAACGACTACGGCCAGTGCGACGTGCCAACAGATCTGGGGCCCGTGCGGGCCGTCGCTGCGTTAATTTATCACACTTGCGCCGTGAAGGCAGATGGGCAGCTGGTGTGCTTTGGGCAGAACGAGTTTGGCCGGTGCGACGTGCCGACAGATCCTGGGCCCGTGGTGGCCGTCGCTGCGGGATCTTTTCACACCTGCGCCGTGAAGGCGGATGGGCAGCTTGTGTGCTTTGGGGGCAACAACGATGGCCAGTGCAACGTGCCGGACAACCTGGGGTCTGTGGTAGCCGTTGTTGCGGGAGCTTTTCACACCTGCGCCGTGAGGGCTGATGGGCAGCTGGTGTGCTTTGGGCTGAACAGCTTTGGCCAGTGCAACGTGCCAACAGATCTGGGGCCCGTGGTGGCCGTCGCTGCGGGAGGTGGTCACACCTGCGCCGTGAAGGCGGATGGGCAGCTGGTGTGCTTTGGGTGTAACAGCAATCGGCAGTGCGACGTGCCAAAATATCTGGGGCCCGTGCTGGCCGTTGCTGCGGGAGCTTTTCACACTTGCGCTGTGAAGCCAAATCGGCAGCTGGTGTGCTTTGGGGAGAACACCTGTGGCCAGTGCGACGTGCCAACAGATCTGGGGCCCGTGCTGGCCGTTGTTGCGGGAGCTAGTCACACTTGCGCTGTGAAGCCAAATGGGCAGCTGGTGTGCTTTGGGAGCAACGAGTTTGGTGAGCGCAATGTGCCGCCAGACTTCGGGCCAGTCCTGCGTGTAGAGGTGGCGGGAAGCCCAGGCATTCAGCCCATCCACGGCACAGTGGAAAGCGCTGCCTCGGCATTGAGCCCCGAAGTTGTCCAAGAGGTGCAGCACACCGAGGTCGCAGCAGAGATCTTGCCTGAGGAGGCGGCCGCCATCGTGGCTGAACAAGAAGCCTCCCTCATCGAGCGCAACATCCATTCTGGCTGGCACTGCAATGCATCCCAGACTGCCAGCATGGCCGGTGGCCACTTCTGCCGTGTGCTGTTGCTGCAACTCAGCCGCTCTCCACGCGAGCTCAACGGTGTCCTGGAGCAGTCCGAGGCCCTGCGAGCCACTCGCCAGGCGTTCGCGGACGAGGGTTATCACTGGCATCTGCCCAACGGCGCGAAGGCTGGGCCGTGCATGGTGCGCAGTCTCCAGTTTCAATCAAATCCGAGGCAAGCCCTTAGCCCTCAGAGTCTGGCTAGGCGTGACGGTGTAGAGAGTGTACCTGCAGAGAAGAGATCACCCAGCCGGGAGGTTTTCCTCGACCCGCAGCTCTTCCGCTCGCTCCGCAGCCGCAACGAGATCGAATTGAAGTCCCATCACATCCTAGTGACTCAGGACCCCTGGTCCCTCAAGGGCTGCGCAGGAAGGGTCCCAGATGTCAGCAAAGGGAATTTGAAAAGGCTGTGGTGCGTGAACCTTTTCTCTGCCCCAAGCTCCCACACTATAAGCTCGCTCATTTGAATTCGACACTCTTGGCTCTGAAGTCGTGATTGAGTATACGGCCAGGTGAGGAATGCCTCAAGACTCAGACCGCTCACATATCCGGATAGGAGGAACCCAGTTTTAGAACTTTCAAAACGCGGGGTGAGAGCGTTTCCAAGGCTTAGTGGGACATGCTGTAGCCAAATGAAATGCCATCTTGTTGTTCTCCTTTTTGCTCGTGTCCGCCGTTTACTCAGGGCCTTGCACGTTGCAAGCACATCACGTTTTCAATGAGGAAGTTCACGTAGTGACATCATAGGCCATTAGGCGCCAAAGGCCATTGAGGCTTTTGGGTAACCAAGGAGACTATGACCATGATTTGGCTATTTCTCTCCCCTAAGACATGGAACTCTCATGAAACCAATACATGACCCATACATACATGCAAGCTATATAGATATTACACTAGCTGAGTAATGACACAAGGAGGGGACTACTGGGGCCGTGGGGGTTTGGTAATTTCACAGGACCTTGTGCCCCGCATTCTGGAAGCCGTGGGGCAGCTGCGATCAAAGCTGCAGGCGAGTTGCAGGGTCCCGTCACCTAAATATAATACTGGATCACAAACATTCCCAATGTAGACTGTTACAGTCAGGGAGAATTGTTTGAGAGGGGTGGGGGCTTTAGCATTCGGGGGCCGGATTCCAATATCTGGAACATAGTCAGGTTCCCTCTTGCATCTGTTGAGTCAGAATCCATATTGTCAGTTGGAAAGCAGCAAGCGTGACGTGAGAAGAAAAAAGTGCACTGAAGCCTTGAACCCTTTTAGTCGAATCTCTGACCTTACACTCCAGCCAGGACTACATCCCACAACCCTGAATCCAACATATCCGTCAGAAAGCCTATCATAGCCTATCTATCCCGCAGCATATCCCATGCATTTAGATACATAATTGTTAAGTGTGTATCTATTAATTGCATCTTCATATCTCCTTGGCAAATCTGTGGGAGAGGATGAGGGGGTGGTAGCAGGTGCGCCTCCGCGGCTCGGAAACTGTTGCACTGGCCGTGGCTGGGTTGAAGATTGTTGTAATCTTTTCATGGTTCCCCTACTTTTTCCTTCAGGCTTCTGCTGGGCAAATTACGGTCAATTATGAGGGTTTAAGAGTTATCAATCTTGGTGTTTGCCCGTTTCATGTTTAGGCGGTTTGAAGTCATGGCCTCTATCACCTCGTAAGGATTTGATCTGTCAAGCCTAGGGCTCTGATGTAGAGATTCAGGGCCAGGGCGCCTAGGCTTGACTCTCTTGACATTTAGGGTATCTTTATCGGGCTGTCAGGTACTTACTTATCTTGCGTTTGCAATGGGTTCTCAAGAGTAGGGGCCCTGGTTTGGGGGGGTCCCTGCAGCAAGGATTGTACCATTTTTGGGAGTTGTAGACGGGGACACTCGCATCCGATACTGTCCAGAAAGCACCCCATCGTGACCAACTGCACGGAACACTTCAGAGAAGAGAATGGCCCTCTTCCACCGTCCAGGCAGCCTGTCACAACCTCCACCTTGAATTCTAAAGCTGGAGCCATGAAAGCCTTACATCATCAACCATCAGGATGCAGATGAACTGGTGCTCGTGCAGCGCACATTCCTCAACATCCCCACCTCGTACTTTGGGGATGCCGGCTCCGTAGTGCAGTCCACCACGGAGGCCGGTGCAAGAACAGCGTTTCTCAAAGCACAGTTATCTACAAAGGGTCCCTTTTCAAGTTCTGTGTCAGTTTGGGAGAGAGTGAGATGGGCGCTCTGGGTGCTTAAAGGGAGGCGAAGGCGCCTATGGTACGGCGTAGCCGTTGCAGGCCTTCCTTTCGCAGTCAACCTGGCATGTGGCGGTTTTGGGGGGGACCGCCTTTAGAGACATGGCCAGCTGCTGTTGGTGATACGGATGCTCAAGGGCAACGGAGCCAGTAGGTAGATAGTGCTTCAGTTGCCGCACAAGTTCAAGCAAGCAAGCAAGCAAGCAAGCAAGCAAGCATTAGCCAAGGGTTGTTTTGGGGCTGAAGCCTTTTTGATGCTCAAGTGGAGAAGTGATATATTCAACTAAGTGACAACAGCCATGTGCACTAGGGTCAGCTTATGATACGCTTAGGAACGCAAGGATGCTGACTGAGGATCTTGAATCATTCGCCCTCGCCTTTTCATAGACCTACAAGTGGTGAATAACAGATGTCACCCAAGAACACCCCTCTGCCCCTGTGCCATCATCTGTATTCGTAGAGGTCTCCTAAAATTAAGGGTAGCATTTGGGGGTCCCAATAAGAAGGATTATAATATACTGAGGTCTATATTGGGGTCCCTATGTTTAGGGAAACTATACAATTCACTTGTATAGCTACGGCTCACAGCCTTCCAGGCAGTCTTTTTGGGCTCGGCTCCCTGCAAGCTTCCCACCCCAAGCCCATGACCCTAGGGCTCCAGTTACCAAATCACTGGGGTTTAGGGATTAGGGTTTAGGGTTCAGGGTTTATCCTATGGAGATGCTGTCTATCTTTCTGAAAAGCCTTCATTTCAGCGGCCAGATTCCTATTCTTTGATGTGCGTCCGTAGTACTCGCTTCTGAGCCTTCTTTCCTAAACCATTTGTCCTAGTGTCTAAGAGGGCCCACCCAGGGAGCTACCTGTGCTAATCCCTGTGCCCTATGTATGCATTCCTGGGATCAGAAACAAAGTGGATCCATTTTGATGTGCCCTCCCCTAAACCGTAATTCTTGGAAGACAAAGCCCTGTCCGAGAATCCTTCCTGGAAGGCCCATGCGAACCATGATCATGGTGTAAACCCTCGCAGATTGCGCGCCTGCAGTGAAGCATCTGATCCGGATGATTAAATGCCCGAGGGGTCTAACGTCTAGGGTGATGGACATGTGCTTGTAGATTTGGGACTTGCTATTGGAACCTCTGGGAATACGAAAGTTTTGAGTGCGTGGCATCCTTCTGCAGTTCGCATTCGATAGCTGAGCTCCAGCTCAAGTGCGTACCCTCGTATCGCTCGGCTTGGACCCTCTGAGAAAAATGAAAGTACAAGAGCACATCCGCATCTGAAGTCTCCCAACCGGCAGGTCTTCGCAGATTTAAATATTACGCAATCCCCATTATGCAAGGTTGAGGCCTCGCTTGACAAATTGTTGATGTTTTGGTGCAGACTTGTAGTCATCAAAGCCTAGGTATTCTAAGGACCACCATAATTGGATTCTAGGATCGATACGACAACCCCTTTATAGGTACAGGGTTCTTACTCCATGAAAATAAGGCCCTAAAGACGGAGCATTGCAGCTCCTAAGCGACATTCACGATGTAGCACAGTCCTCCAGTTGCCCGGAAGTACCCGAGGTGTTTAAGATAGAAGGCAGCTGTGTAAGGGTATTCTCATAGTAAGGACCCGAATCTTTTCGCGGCGGACATATGGCTGAGAATAACCCTGAATCTCGGACAGAATTACTTTTGTAGTCAGAGGGACATACGACAGTAGTTTCCGTGTCAAGTTCCATTTTGTTTTCCATTCCCTAAATATTGTCCCTATGACATGATCATGCACGTCGCTGCTGGATTTGCTAGTCCTTTCACAGCTTCCCTGCTCGCACGGCTTGGCCGCAGCACCAAAAAATGTCGTGGCTGGGTGCTTCGGCCAACAGCGACAGCAAGCCGTTCCCCAGAACAAGATGCAACAAGCATTTCCTTTTTGGCAGTCCCCGTTCTTTGATGTAGTTGACCCAGAACACCAACAATGCAGACCTACAGAGGCCCGTCCAAGATGCATTATCGGCACTGCAACTTTAGACAGGAGTTGCAGCAGCATTCAGTGATGGGGCTTAGGGTCTGAGGTTGATTCCTAAAAAAAGTGTAGGGTCGTTGCTTGTTTGCCAGCATATGTTCTTCTTTCGCTACTCCCCGCATCCCAGCCTGACATTTTGCGGATTTCTGGCCATCGGCTGCCTTAATTCAGCTGCTTCGGCTGTCCCAGAAATTTCGGTCATCTACGCTTGCCGCCTGGCTTTGAGATGCCATTGCCCACAGCCCTAGTGCAAATGTTTTGTAAAAAAGGCTATTTATTGAGCTCCGCAGTCCGAAAAAGGGGCCGCCGAGTCAGAAGCTTTTAGATACAAGATTTTGCCAGCTCAGGAATCCTGCCGACCAGACTTCCCAGGGACTAAGCCTGCTTGAGGGGATGAGAAGGGTTTTGAGGTGTAGGGGCGCGAGAAAGCGGTGTCCAAGCATAATCTGACATCCAACCGCTTGCCTGAAACCTGAACCATGAACCCTTGACATAGCATCCCCAATTTGCTGCAGAACAATCTTCCGTGAGAGGCCAGGGAGGTTACGGACTCTTGTCATGGGCGTGATGCTGGTCTGCACTTCTAGAACACCCTTAGGATTTTCTTTCTTTTACGCAAGCCAGCAGGAAATGTGTGGATGGCTTCTTTGTTTTACTTGGTTTCAAGCCAGGGGATTAAAGTCGTACGCATGACATGTGTAGAAATGGCATGCCGACTATTTAGTATGTATAGACATGCAAAAAACCTGTCAAAGGGAATCCTGGTCATCGCAGTTCGCATTCTGCTTACTGCCGCCAGCCAGCAAGGCGTCGCCCGGACAATCACGCGGAGCAAAAGCAAGAAGTGCATTTATCCAAGTGGTCTTCAGAGAATCCTTGAGGCCTTATGAACCCTTCATATCCGAAACTACTTGCCCGATTGGAACCATGTTTTGACAACCCCCCATCTCACTGCGGCGGTAGAAAGCAGCTTCCAGATCAGAGAGTGGGGTTGCAACCACTGGGATGCTGTTAAGGAACTGAAAATAAGTTACCATAATGGGTACATATAGTAAACAATAAAGTTTCCCCAATATAGTAACTTAATTTAAGTTCCTTAACAGCAACCCAGACTACCCTTCATCTGCAGCTGTCACAAGTACTAGGACCCCAGGTGAGGAGACGTTCCGAAACTTGGGATCTTGGCTGTGAGGATTCGGTTGAAGTCTGACCAATCC